TGCAATGGCTACCATGGTGATTATTTTGAAGGAGACTCGGATGATCTTGGGAGAAGAGCAGGGTCCCACTCAAAAGTGGGCTCTCCCGCCTGAAAGTGGGATTTCCCATCCAAAAGTGGGCTCAGTGGAGGGCAAGGATGTCCAGCGGTAGGGGATGAAACTCTCTAGAACATGAGGAGACTTCAGGATACCAAACACAAGGAGGCTGATTCCTGCTTCAGGTCAGAATGTCTTGGCCCCATAGTTTGATGTGCTGCTTCAAGGTGCTCTAGGCCCACTTTCTGTGTACAAGCCAGACATTTCAGGGATGATTTTTTTTAAAGGGAATGGCTGTCTGAGCCCGACTTGATGCCCCTCTGAGATATGGAGGAGAGTGATGCTCACCCACAGGATCTCTGAAACCTTTTGTGTTACTATTTGCTATTCATCAGTGATTTCTATGTGTATATCAGAGGTTTGTTGGAATAAGCAGTTGGTTAGATGATCTTCCTAGGAATTCCAAGTCTTAATATGCATTTTCCCTCATTGTCATCTTTTTGTTCATTGGGTAGTGATTTATTAACAAAGCTTAGGATTTATCAAGCATTAGGTAAAAATTATCAAAATGTCAGCTACAAAATTCTGTAGTTCAAAAATAATGTCATACATCTGCTTTCTTATGATTAAACCCAGATATGGTCCCTAAAATAATCAAATAGCTTCAATATTATTATCATTTCCTGGAACACAACATTTTCAGCTCTGTAGCACCCAGCCTCTCTACCCTCCGGATACCCTGTTCCAGACAAGTACAGCACTTCAGTTACTAGAGTTCATTTCCCAGAATTTTAAGTATAATCACTTGCTTGGTTGGATTTGGGCTTTTTATTTAGATTCTTTCATTCAGAGTATTTTTATATTTATTCATCTCTGATGTGTGTATCTCTAATGCATTTTTGTTTATTCATTCATTTTTAAATTTTTTTAAATGTCATTGTGCATATTCACTGTACATAGCTCTGTGTTGCACAAGGACATTTTCACATTATAATAGTTATTCGGTTTTGTTGAGATAGGGTCTTGGGCTATACCCCAGGCAAGGCAGGAACTCATTATGTAGCCCAGGTTGGCTTATAACTCACAGCAACCCTCCTGCCTCAAGTTCTCAAAAATACTAAAATTGCAGGCATGAGCCACCAGGCTAGGCTTGTGTTTGTCTGTCTTGAAATGTTGTTATTGATCCCAGGGCTATGAGCTTGTTAGGCAAATGCTTTACCACTGATCTATACCATTAGCTTGGTTCAATTTCACTGCTAAATACTATTCTAGTACATCCTTGAACTGTAATTTCTTTGTCTCCACTGTTACAAGATCTTTGAGTAGTTGAACCTCTTGTGAGAAGAAGCTGCTATTGGTAGTTATAAGCTAGACAAGATGTGAGCAATGGAGCTTGGAGAAGGTGCCCAAAAAGACAGCACAAGGCCTCTTTGTGTTTATACAGCTTCAGGTTTTACAATAAAGTCATAATTTAACAAAATACCAATGTCTTATCCCTGTTACAACAAAATGTCTTAACTGAAAGAAATTCATGAGATAATCAAGGTGCCTTGAGCACTCTCAAAAAGGAGTTGGATATGAAGTAACAAGAAAACTACTACTTTATCTTGAAAGTTGTGTCCCATGATGATCAGAATATCCCATTGTAGCTAAATGTCCCAGAGATCACAGATAGATTGTTCCTGCTTTATTAAAAAACTAAGATGCCAGGGAAATTTCCTACACACATGCACCAATGAAGGTTCTGCAGACTTAAAATCATAAACCTCAGCTTCATTAAAATATTCTGTAAATTATGGTCTTCCAGGTTTCTTCCTCATCACCTTCTCAAATATCCAAAGGTTATTCTGATAACAGTGGCAACAACTGATCCATCAGTAGCAAGCTCACAGGACCAATGGGACACAATTTGCCTTCAGAAATTCAGTGTTTTATGCCTCTGCTGTGAACACAAATGATTCAGCAGTTGCACATACTGAATTGAGAACACATTTCTACTGCCACCACACCTTGCAGTTTTCTCCCTAATCTTATTTTTCAAAGAGAACTGTAATATTAATTATAATTACCCATACCTCAACACCTTTATAGCTCTCACACACTCAATGCAAAGACATCCTCAGAAAAACCATTCTGGGCCAAGGATGTAACTGAGTAGATTACTTGCCTAAGGTGCTCACCATCCTGGGTTCATCCCCATCACATGCAACACAAAATAATTTCCAAATAAAGTACTATCCTTTATAGTATAGAAGCCAAGAGTCCCCTCAGAAATTCAGCCCCAATTCAGAGAATAGATTGCATATTATTTTAAAGTGGTTTAAGCAATAATTTAAAGGAACTAAAGATATGGGACAGTGGTTAAGAATACTGGCTACTCTTGTAGAGGACCCAGGTTTTCTTTCCAGTACCCACATGGCAGCTAACTACTGTCCATAACTCCAGCTCCAGGGGATCAGGCGCCTGACCTCCGCAGGCATTGTTCACACAGGTACATGTACATACATGCAGGGAAAACACTTATACAAATAAAAAATTAATTTTAATAAAAAATTCAAAACAACGCCATTAGAAATCAGTTTAATAACATATCTTTTAGCAGAATAGTTGTATTAGGCTTTCTCCCATCACCTGTGGTCTGTATAGCCTCAGATTCCTAGACCTCATATAAATGTCAGATATGGGCTCCATCCTATAAAGTGGACCTTAAATCCAGTTACAATGTGATTGGTTACTCCTGTAATATTCATGCCACTATTGCACCAGTGGGCATATCTTGCCAGGTAAGTTGTTGTTGTAGCTCATAGGATTCACAGCTGGCAACTGATGACTGTTGGAAGGGAAGGTTCAGTCTCATTTAATACTGAAACTCTTAGTAGGCTGACAAACAGATCGAGAATTTCTCTATTCTGACTTTCGGTCTAAATACTAAATTCTGTTTTTCGTACATGTATACATGTTTTTTTTTTTGTTTCTTGTTAATGCATATTGAGAGGGATAGGAGGGGGAGTCTTCAGACCCAGGCCAGCAGGAGCAGCATCTGGTAATCAGAAGACAAACTACTGGAGCCACTGGCTCCAATAAATCATTCACGATTATTTATGTCAATTCTGTTCAGACTACCACTTCTCTGAGGCTGGTCCTGGGGTCAGTGGTGTTAACATGTCCTGGGAACTTGTAAGAACTTTAAATTTGGAGGCTCACCTGTTGGGACTCAGGTTTGCTTTGCTTAGCGGGGGACCTACTGGCTTCAGGGCAGAGGGTCTGATTGGCGACAGAGTCATGAACTCTGGGACCTGTGTCTTCCCAACAGGACAATTTATTTTAAAATTCAGATGGCTTTTACATCCCAAGGAACTAGCAGTCACATGGGTAATGGCAGTCACATACAAACATTTAGGGTACAAAGAAACAGAACATTTAGTCTGTTAGTTGGCTCCAGAAGGATTCTTAAACTTTTATTCAAGGTTATCAATGCCCATCCAGTAATTTATTGGCCACAATGTTTTCTTTCTTAGAGCTAAGAGCATGGTGAACTTTTAGCTTTTATCTCAGGAGTAAACCTTTAACCTGGCCTAATCTCTTAGCCAGGGATAGCTGAGTTATTTGTTCAGGACAAGGAGATGAGCTAAGGGTTATTGACCAAGACGCTTTCCCACAGAACAGGGAGCCTGCACTTTTATGACTTGGGCCACTTCCTCCTGCCAGTCTAACAGTGTTCTGCAAGACAGGGATTATCAGAGCCACTGTTTTCAGTGCCCCTCCCTTTAGCAGAGAATGAAGCCTGGACCTATAAGTTTTAGGCTCACCTCACCCTAGGGCCTGACATCCTGGTTTCCTACACCCACCCCACAACAACTAAAAAGGCAGCTATGTGGATGCAAAGCAGTACTCTGTTTTAATAAGCCCTCCAGGTGATTAGGGATGCCCAGAGGAATCTAAGAACTGCTGACCTGAATTGCCTGCTACACTATTGTTTCTCAGGTCAACAAAGCAACAGATTATTCCAATGCATTAACTTTGCTTAGGGTTTTTGTTAGGTAAAGGATTACCTGCTATGAAATGAGTTGGCTACAAAACCAAAGAATTGGCACTAAAGTCTGTCAAATGCCCCGGCCAGTGACTCCATGTATTCTGCACTGCTTTTCAAAACAGAAATTATGCACAGGCTCCACTGGCAAGGGCTAAGACTGATTCTCCCAGAGAGGTCCCACCTTTCTATGGGCGAATGGTCTCACCAGGAATTAACTAGTTTGGTCTTTATGTGATACTTATATACCCAAGTATTTGCTGTATCTGGAGCTATATATCAGGAGGAACTGTGGCGACAGGAAAATTTCCTGGAGGAAAACAAAAGATGTTAAAGCATGACATCAAAGGGCGGTTGGTCACAGACTCCCTCATCAGGCAACCTCCTGGTGCCCAGTAAGGATCTGTAACTGTTCATGCTGTCATCCCTTCTTTTCGAAGGCTAATGACAGCCAGCAGGGTGCAAAGTCTAATTCATTTTCTCATTAATTTACTTCTTCATCCCAGTCTCTAATGAAATCATCAGAACATAGTAAGTGTGGCGTTTAGTTATTGCAATGTCAATCATTCTACTAGGAGCCGAATCTGAAACTAGGGACCAAGAAATTCGTCCCGCAGAGATGCAACTTGCGGGGGGGGGGGTTGCCGGCTTGCAACACGTTTTGCCGCTTTTTTCCCCCTCCATTCTCAGGCTTCCCCTGCCGTACATCCCACCTAATCGCCAACCTCAACCAGAAGATGCGCCAGTCTCGGTCCCAACACACTGCACACCGAGGCGCCCTGTGGATACGTCATCAATGGTGGCCGAGATTTCGGTCCGACTTTCACTTACTTCCCTTCCACGTGGCCCCTCTCATTTCGGTTCCCATCTCTCTGAGCCCCGGGTAGCTAGATGTGCCTGTAAAAAGCGCCGCGATCCCGGGGCTCATCCTTACCCGGGAGAATGGCGGTGGTGGGACTGGCCAGGCCTCGGGGCCTCTGCTAAGGTCTTCTCTACAACGAAGCATGCGGGAGCCTTCCTGGGCTGCACCAGTCACAGTACTGAGGAGCACACCCCCAGCATCCCCAGCGCCCTTCCCATCATCTAGCTGGAATGGGAGTTTACCCCAGGGTGTTTACTGGTGTTGGCAAGCCAATGCCTTCCAGCAGCATACACCAGCGGTAAATGGGGGTGGGGCACTCATCTGTAAATAGCACCCCCCCACACCCTATGCTCTGTTAGCAAGCCCAATAAACTAGTTAGGATTTAAAAAAAAAAAGAACAAGATTTGTGACTTATAAATCACATTTATAATTTCCCACAGGAAATTATATGCTTAATGTATGCAATGAATTATGTGCAGCAATAAATGTGTGCCATTTAAAATTTAAAAATTAGTAAAAATGGTCAGGTGTTCATGTCACAAAAGCACATGATACAGTGAGTTTGCCAAGGTTAATTAAAAATAGTCCAAAATTTGCCCACTTTAGAAGTCATTCATGCAGCACTTTAACCTGCATCATCATCATCATCATTATTAATTATTAATGTCTTTATGTGAATGTATACCACATATGTGTAGGTACCAGTGAAGGCCAGAACAGGGTGTCAGATCCCCAGGAGCTGTGGTTACAGGTAGTTGTGAGCCACTAGATGTGAGTACTAGGAACCAAACTCTGGTTTTCTGGAAGAACAAGATGTGCTCTTAACCTCTGAGCCATTTCTCTAGTTCTCCCTCTTGGTCTTTAAACCTCCCAATAACACTTTTCCCAGCTCTCCCATTGGAACTGTGCTGCAGCATTAGTATGCCAAAATTAGTTATACTTGACTAAGCAGTCTGACCCTTAACTTTATTTGTAAGGGTGGGCCTGAACTTGGAGATCACCCATTCCTCCAGATGTCTCCTGGAACTGTGCTGCTGAGTCAGGCCTCACACATAATTTTAATCAAAACCATTTCTCCAGCATCAGTTTTGGGGAAGAAGCTTGTATCCACATTTATCAGACAATCTTGCCCTTTCATTCCTATACAAACATTCTACTCAAACTTCATTGTTTTAAATAAAGTTACAAATATGAATACACTGCCTTTCGGCACTCTGATTTGTTAATTCTTAAGCATACCCACAGTCATTCACTCTCTTGAGTGGAGTACAGTTGAGGTTCCAAAGGATCAAAGTCAAATACCCAAGTCACAAAAACACATGGTTCAGTAAGATTTTTTTTACAGTAGCTTTTTGGTTGCAAGGCAAATTAAGTCATCAGTCCCTTTTGTATATTTTGTGAAAGTCATTTCTACCGTGTGCCCTACAATGGTTGTTAACCTTGCAAATTTACCAGTCTTGTTCATCTGTTGCGTCTTGTGTTTTAAGAACACAAAGGCAAAACAAATTTCTGGTGTAAAAGGATCATATCCATGTCCCTGATCACCTACTGGAGTGTCCCAGGAACACCTGTTGAAATGTTTAGGTTTCTGTGTCCACAGGGAGCAAATTCAACTATAGACATATGGTTAGATATAGAAACAAAGAATTTATTGAGAAAGGAAAGGAGAGACTAGACAGATGACTCACTGGTCAACATCACTGGCTGCTCTTGCGGGGGACCTGGGTTTGGTTCCCAGTTCCCACATGGTAGCTATCAATGGTCCATAACTTCAGTTTCAGGTGACCCAGTGCACTCTTCTGGCCTCTGCAGACATTGCATGTACATGGTGCACTTGTATACATGCAGGTAAAGCAATTATACACCTGAACAATAAATGAACAATAAATCATTTAAAAAATTAAATGGAAAGCACTCCAAAGAATGAGGGTAGGCTAGGGAGCTGAGGGTAAAGACCAAAAGGCACTGGGCCATAGGACATTTACATAATACCCTCTTCTCCCGCTGTTTAATGGCTTTGTTGCATGTGGTCTGTTCATTAAATGAAGCCCAAGTGAGGAAGGACTTCCAATTGTTTTCCTGCCAGCTGGCTTCCTTTATGTGTTAATTTTGATATAGCTTCTGCCACACTGCAATTAACCGGAGGGAATTCAAAAGGATACAGAAAAGCTTATTAAATGGAATTGGGCACCTGGTTCTTGCCACCAAATTTCATAAATCAAGTGATGAGATGGCAAAACAGTTAATGATTTTTTTTGTGGTACTGGGAACTGAACCTAGCGCCTTGCACATGCTAGGTAAATACCGTACAACTGAACTATGACACTCCCTCCCTAAAACCTTTTTATTTATATTTGTAGACAGATTTGTATTAGTTGCCCAGGTTGACCTCCAACTTATGATCATACTGCCTCAGTCTCCCAAGTTAATGGGATTTAGTTGTGCTTCATCATGCCTAGTGATAATCATTTTTCACACAGGTTCTCCCTATGTAGCTCTGACTGGCCTGAAACTCACTATGTCAACCAGGCTGGCCTCAACTCACTGAAATCTGCCCACCTCTGCCTCCTAGCTGCTGGGATTAAAGGCCTGCACCATCACACTGACTGATGCCCTATTCTTTTGGGATTTTAAAAATTAATTAATTAATTTACTACAAACTGGCTTGGGGCTTTCCACCTATGGCTCCTGAGTTCTAGGAAATAATGATCTGTGGCTCTGAGGGTGTGTGCTTTCTGGGAATTAGCTGTGGTGAAGAATGCCAGGAAGCTGTCAGCTTGTAGGGAAGCCCTGAGAGGAGGGAGGCATTGATAAAAGAAATAAGTGAACACTATTATCCTAAATCAGATGAGCTGAGCCCAATAAAATGATGATGCTCAGTAATAAAGATGGTAGATTTTCCTTCCTCAGAGCCTTCTGGAATCCCTGTCAGAGGATGACACAACTGCGTCTTTGTGCTTTGGAAACTGGTTCCTGGAATTATGAGCGGGGGCAGGCTTATTGCTGTCCTCATGGGCATGTTGAGGATGTCATGAGGGAGAGGTGACTCATTTGAAGGATATAGAGGTGGTCTCTTTTTTAAGATCTCCACTGATATGGACAAAATAGCCTCCCACAGCTGAGAGGGAGTTAAGTGAGTGGCAGGTAGTTTTTAATTCCAGCATTTTTTAAATGTATATTTTTATTCATTTTTTGTGAACTTCATACAAAACATCTTAATCAGCTTTATACTCCTTCCACCATCTGCATCTCCATATCCCCCAACTGGATTTTATGCATCCTGTCATACATGTTAAGGCATACGTAGGTAGATTTTAAAGCAAGAACCACACACTGGTAAATGAAAACCTGGCTCACCAACTCACTGGGTAAATTCTGGCCTGAACCTTTAGAACACTTGTGCTTTGCTTTCAGAAGCTGGAATTAAAGCTCAGCCTGTGGAGTCCTGTTTCTATCCTCTCCTCATGAATTATTGCAAGCTGCATCTTGATCAGAGGCAAGTCTGGTTTTCACCATCTTGGGAACAGCTTCTTGTTCTGTAAAGAAAGGGAGATTGACTCCCTCTTTTGAAAGGGTGGTCCCAAAGATGGAACACCAGCCTGTGTGTGAAAAACAAGCCCTGTTCAAAAATAAGCCATTCTTGTGGAGGAGACCTTGGGGTACTTGCAAAATGGAGGAACCAGTGAATAGTGAAGATTATCCATACCAGCTGAGAGTGCTGACCACTGACAGGTAGGTGTATGGAATGGAAAACCTTGGTAGGAAGAGGAAATGGGCTATTTGTGAGAGTGGTTTGGAGGTAAGATTTTATCCACTTTTCTAATAGCACTGACATTGCCTGGGGCCACTTTTCCTTCTAGGGTCTATTTTTGGTTCTGAGCTTTTGTTGCTATGCAACAGGCTGTCTCTGAGCTTGGAGCATGATTCAGAGAAACTGATGTAGGCAGCTGTGTCCTGCAGAAGCAGCAGGAGCTGAGGTGGGGTGGAGGTGAGGGCAGGAACATGTGTACTGCGTTGAGATGGGTGGAGGTCTTAGTATCTATGTGGAATGCTTTCTGGGAGAGATCATGTCTGCAGTGTGACCATATTCACTAACAAAACTATAAGGAAGGGAGCACAGTAGGTAAAGCAGACAGTCAAAGAGGAAAACACATGGAAATACCAAATGTAACCTGTTTATTCTTTTTAATACACCAAGAAAAAAATTGAAAATTTTATCCTCTCTGTCCTTTCCATAATATTTCAGAAATTATTCTAAGGAATATTTTAGGCTTTTTCATTTGTCAAGTTAGAAAGAACCTTAATATTTAAAAAGGGAGAACAAAAAACAATAATCACACCTGTAGAACTCTAAGGTGAGGAGTCAAGGAAGTATGGTAGAAGAGAAAGTACAGCATGGCTGTGTTTTCAACGAGAGTTTCTGGAAGTTTCCCCTCATAAGCAGCAAGCCCGCCATATCTATCACTTTGGTGGATCTCTAAGACCAAAGGCAGTAGGCAGGCCCAGCTCCTCTCTAGAATGCAGAGAAACCAAATCTACATATATCTTTGGTTATGGAGTGATAGAATTTGAAACTTCAAAACTATGACACATGCAGTGTCATGTTTCAGACATAGTAATGCATACACATGCATACACATATATACAAGCACACACAGACACGCATATCTACCATGACTAAGCAACTGCTTTTGTGTAATTTTGATGAATAAACAAAGTCTTCTACCATTGATTTATGCCCATAATCCTAAACAGTTGTGCTTTTCCCCCATGGGAAATATAGTTTGTACATACTTAAAAATAATAAGCGTACTTAAAAATAATAAGTACACATGTGCATCTTTTTGTCAATCCATGTGTAAATTCATCTCATTTTGGTTTCCTTTGTAAGGGTCTCACTATGTAGCTCAGACTGGTCTCAAACTTGTGGCATTCTTCCTACTTCATCCTCCCCAATACTGGAATTACAGATATGGGACACCATGCCTAACCCAAATTTGTCTTTAAATTATTATTTTAAATATTTCACTTTTCTACAAGATTTTTGATTTTTTTTTAATTTTATGTGTATGAGTCTTTTGATTGCATGTATGTAAGTGTAC